GCTGGGGCCTGAGCCCGGGAGGTCGGCCGGGGACCACGGAAGCGTGGCTGGCGAGCCGCCCCCGTGGCAGTGGCCGGACAGCGCCACCACGACGGAGCAGCCCGTCGCCGCGGCACGACCGCGACAGGGCAGCAGCGCCGCCGGAGCGGCCCAGCACCGGGGCGCAGGTAGCGGCGCCGCCGGAACAGCCCAGCACCGGGGCGCGGGCAGCGGCGTCGCCGGAACAGCCCGGCACCATAAAAAAAAAATAAAAAAAAAAAATAAAAAAGAGGAAGAGGGAGAAGAGAGGGACGTACCACGCTCGGGCCTACGGGGCTCGGCGACGGGGTAGGGGGAGGTCGGCCGGAGCTTGTTGCCGCGAACTCGTCGGAATCCGGTGGTGGCTCGCCGGAGGTGTCGCCGGAATCCGGTGGGGGGGCTCGCCGGAATTTTGGGGGAGAGGGGTGTGATGTGGGGATGGTGAAAGTGTAGAATGAGAGGGGAGAAGGGGTTTATATAGAAGAGGGGGAATTTTGAAATTCAAAATGCAAAAAAGGGGGGGAAAGATGAAAAGAGGGATGTGATTGGTTGAAAAGGGAGGATGTGATTGGTTGACTTGGAGAAGATGACCAAGACCTAAGAGGACTCTACTGTGTATGTGTCCTAACAGATGAAGGAGTCATATTCCGGGGGGAATTTTCTCATCATTATCGCGAGAAGTACACTTGGACGGCAACTATAACGCAGGGACGCGGGCGTCTCGGGGTCGGCATTTTTGGAGGTCGGCCAGAGCGTCTACTCTCCTTCACTGACGATTACTCGCAGCTCGGAGAGTGGGGGACTGATGATGGATATATTAGGAATCGACCCGCACCGACCCGGGGGCGCGGACAAGAACGGGTCCCGGGGCGGCGCCGCGTACCCGCCCCGGACGGGGCCTCGCCACGTGGCCCCGCACGGGCCACGTCAGAGGCCGGGCCGGCCTCTCCAGGAGGCCTGGCCGACCTCCAAATGGGCCCGGCCCGAGCCCATGACGGGCTCGGCCTGGCCCCCCAGCACGGCCCGGTCGCGAGACCGGGCGCGGTCAACTCGGATCTAACCACCCCCCACTTTAGGGGGTGGCGGTTAGGGGCGGGGGTCGTATAAAAACCCCCCACCTTGTCCAGTTAGGACACGATCTACTTTACAGACACACTTTGTACTGAAGAATCATTGTAATAGCCAATTCCACGGCGTCTAATACAATATACGGTCCACCGCGGCCTTTACGATATCCTTCGTACCATTTCTTTATTATTCATATTCTCATTCGGGTTAGTTAAGTCGGACCCCCGGTTTAATTAATTCCATCAATTGTATTACACTATTTTATAATATTAGAATAGAATTTTAACGCAGAATTATTGTACGAATGAGAAAGTAGAAATCAATATATTTTATAGGAAGAGAGATTTTTTAGGATTTGGGCGGAAAGTTAAAATTTCAGGATTTTGTTTTTATATATAGTATAGATTGTATTACACTAATTTTTAATATTAGAATAGAATTTTAACGTAGAATTATTGTACGAATAGGAAAGTAGAAATCAATATATTTTATAGGAAGAGAGATTTTTTAGGAATAGGGCGGGAAGTTAAAATTTCAGGATTTTGTTTGTATAGATAGTATAGATTGTATTACATTATTTTATAATTTTAGAATAGAATTTTTAACCCAGAATTATTGTACGAATGGGAAAGTAGAAATCAATATATTTTATAGGATGAGAGATTTTTTAGGAATTGAGCGGGAAGTTAAAATTTCAGGATTTTGTTTTTATATATAGTATAGATTATTATTATTATTATTATTATTATTATTATTATTATTATTATTATTATTATTATTATTATTATTATTATTATTATTATTATTATTATTATAGCCCAATCATAACATAATATCCAATGATCCTTGTATTTGTTAAATCCAAAAAAAAATAGCCCAAAGAACCTTTCTTGTGCTAAGCCCAACCCATCATCCCTCGACCCACGTATAAAAGGGCCAATCGTTATATTGTGCACCAGGGCGCACAATGCATTGTGCGTCCCGTTCTCCCAAAACTACATCATTTTGTTAAGTTGTGTGGGAGTTGACGCGACGGAGTGTATGTGTATTCTGTTATATAATTATGTATATTCATGTACATTCGGAACAGGAGATTTTTCTTTTAAGAGTTAAGAGTTTATGTGTATTATGTATTATGTTAGATTATGTGTATTATCCTTTCAAAAAAGTGCATGTGTATTCTGTTATGCAATTATGTACATTCTATTATACAATTATGTACATTCGAAACATAAAAACTATGTACATTCTATTATACAATTATGTACGTTCAAAACATGAAAACTTTTTTTAAGAAGTTAACAGCAGACACGGGAAACGAAATTTCAAAATAAAAATACAAAACGAAGTCGTTTTGGGCCAAGGCGCACAATACATGGTGCGCCGTGGTGCACCATATAATTTGCCTAAAAGGGCAAATAAAAATCTTAATTCAAATCACCATACCACATTTCAGTCTAAGAACATTATTATGTAGACCATTGTACAATGTATATTATTTAAATAATGTACTTTTAGTACTTAAATAATGTAATTTTCTTGAATATAAAGTACATTTTTAACATACTAGAAGTACATTATTTGTATACCGAATGTAGATTATTTGATAGTATACAAAATACAGAATAATATACTTTTAGTACTCAAATAATGTATTTATGTATACAAATAATATACTTTTTATTTATGATCCGCACAATAATAATTGCATTCTCACGCCTCACTTTCCACTCTGTCTAAAAGCCATTGTCTCTCTCTACCATTTTCTAAAAATTACACTCATATACATAGGCGGATCTACAGTGGGGCCAGGGATGGAGCCAGGAATTATGTTGAGGGGGGCGAAATAGGGACGGATTCAGAATTTTTTCTGCAGTAAAGGCGAAACATTAAAATAAAAGAGATATTATAAATAAATAAATTACCTAAGAAATATATGTGTAAATATTATGGGATATAAGCGAAAAATAACACATCGAAACTTTATAAAAATATTCATAACAAAATATGAAATATAATTAATTTGATAAAATAATTTGAATATATGTATGTGTGTGTATTTAATATTAAAAAAGCTATTAAAAAAAACTGTAAAACTATATTAACAACCATAGGATTCAGACTCTTAACCTTTATTATATCCAAACACAAGCTCAACCAACTAATCTAAATCATTCTTCATTTATAATTAACAGTTTTTATATACTAATACTCAAACATGTACTATATATACATATATACATACAAAGATTATATATAGGGTGGGGGTGGGGGTGGGGTGAGGGGGGCAGCTGACCCCCTTGCCCCCCCCCCCCCCCCTGGCTCTGTCCATGAGTGGGGCAGCTGCCCCCACTCCCCCACCCTCACCCCTACCCTTATATAGTCTTTATATATATGTATATATAATACATGATTAGTATAAGTACAAGAAAACAGATAGTGTAAAGAAAGCATGTGTTAGACGAGTTGGTAGGATATGCGTTTGTGTTTTGAAATGGTTTCGATTTGAATCCTTTCTTCAATACTGAGATGTGTTTTATATTCTAATTATTTTATCAAATTAATTATGTCTCATATTTTGTTATGAATATTTTTATAAAGTTTTGATATGTTTTATTTTTCGCTATATCCAACAATATTTATGGTTATAGTGTTTCATTTTTTTTTTTCAAACTTTCTCTTTGTTTTAATATTTCGCCCCCACTGACCAAATTTCTGGATCATATATTTGACAAACATAATGCAAAATCTTCCCTTTTCTGGCCATATACAACCAAGTGAACCAACTTGTCATACCAAAAAAAAAACGTTTTCATATATCCTCCTTTTGTACTTCTCTCCCCATTAACCTAACCTCATGTATGACCTTCGTCCGAGAACCAAAAACAAAGCCACTCAAAGCTACAAACCATACACAGTATTAAGGAAACCAAGGAAGTTATATTTCGAAATATCTTTGTATGTATTTTCATATCTTTGCATGATCTTTGCATATATTTATATGCAGGGACGGAGCCAGAAATTTGGTTGATGGGGGGCGAAATAGTACAAACAGATTCAGAAATTCTTTCCAGTAAAGGCGAAACATTAAAACAAAATAGATAATTTAAAAATAAATAAATAAATTACTTAAGAAATATAGTTGTAAATATTGTTGGATATAGACGAAAAATAAAACACATCAAAACTTTATAAAAATATTCATAACAAAATAGTACAAACGGATTCAGAAATTTTTTCCACTAAAGGCGAAACATTAGACAAAAGAGATAATTTAAAAATAAATAAATAAATTACTTAAGAAATATAGTTGGATTAGTTGGATATGGACGAAAAATAAAACACATCAAAACTTTATAAAAATATTCATAACAAAATATGAAATATAATTAATGAATTGTAAAATTACAAGTAATGCCAAAATTTGAACCTTTAACCTTACTATTGCCAAATATGTACTTTACCACCTAATCTAACCCACTCTTGTTAACATTTTACAATTTTATTATACTAATGCTAAAAAATGTACGATATATACATATATACATACAAAAACTATATATGGGGTATGGGTGGGGTGAGGGGACAGCTGCCCCGGCCCCTTTGGCTCCATCCCTGTTTATATGTATATTCTTAGGAAATTAATTAAGATATCATCTCTTAGGATAATAGAATATTTAGTGTTGGAGCAGGTAGGAGTACTTCTGGTTTCTTCGATGGATACAAAATATACTTAAAAAGAAATCATGCATGATGCATGCATGTAGTCATCATCTTGATTGCAACTTCTCATTGGCTAAAAATGCCTAAATGATCGTTGTCAAGTTGAGAAATTTCTCCATTGGTTATTCTTTGAATCTGTGTTGTCTCCATTGTTAATTAATCACCACAAGCAGGAGAAGGTTGCAGACACATAATCAAAACTCATATCTAAACATATTGGAATATTATCTAAACAGACAAACATTACACTTATTGTAAATCAACAGCTCGATTAAATCTTGTCATTATACTCAGTGTTGATTGATCTTATCCCCATATTCGTAATCTGTTCTTGTCTTCTTGATTTCAATCGTCCTTCTGAGAAACGTGACCATTTTCCTTCACCTCCTTAGCGGCGGCCATGGTTTCTTCTTTGCTTTTCTTCTCCTCTTCTTCTGCTTTTTTCTTCTTCTCTTCTTCTTCTTTCTCTTTCTGGGCCTTTAGTCTCTCTTCTTCTTCTTCTTTCTCTTTCTGGGCCTTTAGTTTCTCTTCTTCCTCAGCTTTCAGCTTTGCATCTACCTTAGCTTTCTCCAGAGACTCAACCAGTCTTGTCAGGCAAGTGTTCTCGTCATCTGAGGCAGATTTGGGCATCAGATTCTCTGCAACATCCGCCGGCGTCATGTCAGCTTCCCCCAGCAGCCGTCCGATCGTCGGAAAAAGCTCGTGCTCTTCAATGTACAAGTAGTTTTTCGCCAGTACCTTGAAGGCCTCGAATCGACAGTAGGAAAGCTCGATGTGTTTATCCATTCTCCCGCTTCGAATCAGTGCCGGGTCGAGCTTTTCTTTGAAATTGGTGGTGAAGACGATGATCCTTTCCCCTCCAATGGCGGACCACAGGCCGTCGATGAAGTTGAGCAGACCGGAGAGGGTTACTTCGCTCTTCTTCTCTTCCATTTTCTCCATTTCTTTCTTGATTGGGTCTTTCTCATTTTCTTTCACTGGATCGGATTTCTCCGCCTTCTTCTTCCCTTCCCTCTGGCCGGTGAGGTCCAGGGAGCAATCGATATCTTCGATTACGATTATGGATTTGCTGGAAGTGTCGATTAAGAGCTTTCTGAGAGTGGTATTGTCCTTAACCGCGGTCAACTCCAGATCATAAACGTCGTATTCGAGAAGATTAGCCATGGCGGCCACCATGGAGGATTTTCCGGTGCCGGGAGGGCCGTAGAGGAGATACCCGCGCTTCCATGCTTTCCCAATTCTGGTATAATAGTCCTTAGATTTGCTGAAAGTGCGAAGATCGTCAATGATTTCTTGCTTCCTTTTCGGGTCCATGGCGAGAGTATCAAACGTCGCCGGATGTTCGAACACCACATGCGTCCACATCCCGCGCCGGAAACTGTAATACCCGCCGTCGTTCTTGCAGTTGGTATAGAGCTTCCGCCGCCGGTCCTTCACCGTGATCGCCTCCCCCTCGTCCAAGACGTGTTTGAGGTAAGCTCCGGTGACGAAATCCCGGTGCTTCTTGTGGAACTTGAGGGTGAAATAGCGCTTGGAGTCGTCTCTGGAGTAGAAAGAAATGGTCTGGCGGTTGGGGTGGTCCTGGCCGGAATTCCACCACACTTTGACCCCTTCAAACTCGTCGGTGACTTCCTCGTGGTAGTCCATGCTGAGGACGAGTGTCTGGGAGTCCTTGATGTCCTCCGCCTTGAGACGCTTGGCCTGGGCGGAGGAATTGGCGGAGAGGTAGCGCTCGATGGCCTGGTACGCCTTGCTGCCGTTGAAGCCGTGGCCGGAAAACTCATTGAAGGTGATGTGGATGTAAGGGTAGACCAGACTCCGGAGCTTCTTGGCGTATTTCTTGAAATAGCCGCGGAATTCGTAGGGGCAATACTTGTCGAACGTGGCCCAAAGTACCATTATAGTCACCGCCGTCGTCCCCATCTTGGCCCACACTTCCTCCATTCCCCACATCATCATCGGCATCATCATCGGATTCTTGAATTTCCGGTGACTGTAGTGATGAGATCTTAATTTGCTTCTCTCATATGATATATGCACAATAAGCTAAGGATGGAGTTTGTTTATATAAGCGGTCAGAATGGTAGGAATGAAGAATATTGGGTTTCCTGGAAATTACTTTGAAACTGGGAGTCACTTTCACCGAAACCTTGTGATAGTCCATGCTGAGAACCAGTGGGCGTGGCAAATTTGTCTTCATTCGGAGATCTTTAAAGATTATGCGTAGGATTATGAATTTTTTATTTTTGTTTAGTTTTAATTTTGTATCTAATGTGGCTTGAAAGTTTGTTATTTTATCAAGTTTTCGAGCCAACAAAAGGCTGCCAGGCACAGCAATTTTTTATTTTTTTTGTTATTTTAATATGAAAAAAATTGTTAAATTGGCCCTCTAAGTCGACCGGATAGTGCAATTGGGTCCCCTAACTAAAAAAAAACTTCATTTAAATTCCTTAAACCTATAAAATTGTTCAATTAAGTCCAAAGTGACTTGTTTAACAGGTTAAGCCTTTAAATGGTTGACACGTGTCTTTTTTAAATATTTTTATTTTTGTTTTTTAATAAATTTTATTTATTTATTTATTTTTAAATATATACTATATATAAACACTAAAAAAAAAAACAAAAAAAAAAACATCCACCGGCTGTGGCTGTCTGCCTAGAAGTTCCACGGAGGAGGAGCACTGGAGTCGAGCTAGCCGAGTACAGAATATTTGTTAAATTTACGTTAACAATGGGCTAACTTGGATGTGGCAAAAAAATGTACCAGTTCTGTTTTTTGCTACGTTAACAATGCTCAACTCCGATACTCCTCCTCCGTGGAACATCCAGGCAGGCAGCCACAGCAGGTGGCTGTTCTTTTTTCTTTTTTTTTTTTTTTTTTTAAAGTTTTTATATATAATATATATTTTAATAAATAAATAAATAAACTTTATAAAAAAAACAAAAATAAAAAATATTTTTTAAAAAAAACACGTGTCAACCATTTAAAGACTTAACCGGTTAAACAAGTCACTTTGGACTTAATTGAACAATTTTACAGGTTTAAGGGATCTAAATGGAGCTTTTTTTTAGTTAGGGGACTCAATTGCACTATCCGGTCGACTTATGGGGGCAATTTGACACTTTTTCCTTTTAATATTATTTTTATAATATAATATAAAGGTGAGACCACCTTTGAAAGTAAGATAGTATTGTAGGAATGTTGAGAAAATAATAAAGAATTACAAATTTGATAATGTGAAGGTAGGATTCATTTTTAAAAGTGAGAGAGCATTGCAGGGATATAAAAATAGTCTAAAGACAAAAGCCTAGCATTTTAAATCCCGGAATCAAATTTTTTATGGGTTTTCTCACACTAAATATAATTGAAAATATTAAGTCGTGGCCCGCGATTTAACATTTTCAATTATATTCGCAGGTGAACCCAACTAAGATGACAAGAGATCCACACTGGTTACAAGTTTAAATCTTTGCCTTTTAGTTTTAGCCGATCAACTATGGGTAAGCTTGACTAGTTTACTTTCTTGTTATCCCTTTTTAGCTAGGATTACAAGAAAGAGTTTACTCACACTAAAAAGGTGTAGGGTTTTGCTTTGTCATCAAAAAAAATGTTAAGCTCAATATGATTGGTGTTAAATTAACAAGCAAATTTTAGTGTAGACTGCGGTCCACAATTAATTGTGATCCAGACTTCAAAACGGTGTCGTTCTTTTAATGAAAAGAAACGGCACCCGTTCAGCATAAAGTAGCTCTATTTGTATAACATATCCAATTTCATTTTATATACAATGCAGTTTCATTTCAACACAACTACAGTTTCATTTGGATATAACTACAGTTTCATTCAACATTATACACTCAAATATGTGAAATTGTTATTCAGTTTCATTTTATATACAATATAGTTTCATTACAACACAACTGCAGTATCATTTCGATATAACTACAGTTTCATTAGACAATATATACACTCAAATATGTGAAATTGTAATTCAGTTTTATTTTATATACACTGCAGTTTCATTTTAACACAACTATAATTCCATATCATTTCAATTACAGTTTCATTTGATAATAATATAAAAATAATATGTGAGACAGTTTTATTTTAAATATACTGTAGTTTCATTTTGTAATTAACACATTAAAAATACGGGCTCCGTTAAAGATGTAACGACAACCATTTTTTTACTTCAAAAATGATGTCATTTTTAAACCACGGTCCATGATATAACAACTGAAATTAATACTATATTATTACTACTCCGTATTTTTTTTTTTTGGTCGAGTATTACTACTCCGTATATTTATATACATAGTATGCTTTTTTAAAGACAAAGTTTAGGTAAAGTCCTATTTAAGAAAACTGTGTCACATCATTATAAATTTAAGATCAAGAATTTACTTAAAACGATTCAATTTTTTAAAAATGATAAGTACAATTGACAGGTGTAAGTAGAAGTAAAAATAAAATTAAATAAATGTAGTATTAGGCTAAATTTATCCCTGCACTTCTCTCATTGCAAGTCTAGATGGCATTTTTATTTTTAATCTTACATGGAGTGAAAGCTTTCACAATTTGAAACCTTTCAAATAGTACAAAAGGCTGCCTTTTATTTGTTTTGTTTTTATTTATTTAGTATTATATTATTATTTGATTATTATATTATAATATGATTTGAAAGTGATATTATTTTTGAAAATAAAAGAGTATTATAGGGAGGACTTGCTTTTGAAAATAAGATAGTATCGAGGGATAAATAAATAGCCTTAGACTAAAGGCTGTTTTTATACTTGCAATTCTCACCCCTTTTAAGCTGACATGGCTTTTAAAAAAAATTATTATAAAAGCCAAGTGGCTTGAGAATTCAAACTAACAAAAGGCAGTCAGTTTTTTATTTTTTTGATTATTATTATATTATTATTTTGTTATTATTATTATCTAATCTAAAATCTAAAAACATAATAAGTGTCAATACAAGTTATGTCCTTGATTTTTGTCCCTTTTTTATATGTTAATAAATATATACATTTTGCTTTAATTGTTGTACATTCATTTGCATTAGACAAAATCACCCTTACACCATTATAACACCGTTAGTTTTTAATATATCTACCAATCTTACCATACACCTACATCTATCATATCTTTTTCCTATTTTTAATTATCATTTTATTAAAATTATTATATAACAATTAATTTAATTATAAATTATATTTTAATTGAATATATATATATATATATATATATATATATATATATATATATATATATATATATATATATATATATATATATATATATAAAATATGTATGTATATTATTTGTGTATGCATATCAATATATCATATATGTGAGTGTTAGCTTAGTATTATTTGTAAATTATTATTATATAAAAATATAATTTATTTATTTTTGTTTTGATCACTATATTATTCAAATATATGATAATTCAAAAGTATCACCACTTTAAGAAATTGCAAAATATAATTTTAATTAATTTTTTAAATTTTGCTACTTACAAATATTTTAATATTGGGCATAAGTTTTCGCGCGTACAAAATGCTAGTATTATAATATAATGTAAAAGTGTGAATATTTTTTCAAGTGAGAAAATATTATAAAAATATAAGAGCATCGACATTAGAGGTTAATATGGGGATAATGCCAGATTCATTCTTAGTTCAAAATAATAACCAATGTGGAAAAGAAATAATACAAAATTATTTGTCTTGCAAGGGCCAAAGAGCATGTCAGAAAGAAAAAAAAAAAAAAAAAAATTGCGCGTTTTCGCACAGTCAATGCCCACACGGACGCGGCACGCGCCCGTGCGGCGTGTCAGCGCGCGCTGACGCACAACTGTTTTTATTTATCTTCTTTTTTTAAATTCAATTTTATACTTTTTTTTCTTCTTTTCTCTTCCCTCTCACTTTCTTTTTCATAATCACTCTTACATTCTCTCTCAATTCTTCTCAATTGATAATGTTACTTTCTTTTTCATAATCACTCTTACATTCTCTCTCAATTCTTCTCAATTGATAATGTTACTCTTAGAACATAATGAATGAATTGCAAATTTAGAGGTAATACCGACTTTTAAAAGTAAAAGAAAATTTTTAAAATAAAGATAACCTTTAGTAGGCTATAAACGAAATCACGTCCTTTTGGGATTTGGATTAAATGCAAATGCATGGTGTGTCCTCTGGGAACTTTGGGAGACCAAAATGGACAAAGAAGTTGAAAAAAGAAAAAACAAAAAACAAAAAGAGAGAGAGACTAAAACACGTCTTCAATTGTGATAACATCATTGGTCCATGCGTCAGCATCTTCTGCGATAAACATGTCAGTCATCCGTCATACGCGTGAAACCTTGGTTCATATGCATTTCGTGTTGTCCACTCCACTACATCGTCAGAACTCAGAAGGAGAAGAAAGCTTGCGTTTAGTACTATCAAGGGATTATACGTTTGCGGAGAACATTTTAGGCGGTCATTGACACAAATGAAAATATTTCAAGTGTGCTGAGCAAAAATATAAAATTTTCAAAAAAAAAAAAAGAGAAAATTTTCAAACTTAGAAAAAAAAAAAATACATTTTCAAATGTGGTTGAGCATATTTGGATTTTTCAAAACAAATGTATTTTTCAAATGCGTTTTGACACCTATTACAATTATAAAATTCTTTTTAGGGTCAAGTGCAAACTCAAAAATTCAATGGTCGTGTGTGTTGGAAGCTAAGTTTTGGGTTTGCATTAAAATAAGTAAATAAAAAAAAAGTAGTTATGAATAGATACAACATTCCCACTCAGTCGTCACTCGGTAGACCAACCGACAAAATGACCAACCGAGTGCCCTATTTTACTTGTTCACAACATACGTATTCGTAGCATAGTCGTAACCCCCAGTTTCATTTACGCTATCATTGGCGCCATCTGGAGGGACCGACATGTCACTCTGACTGTTCTCACCACTCTTTTTCTTCACCGAATACTCTACCTTGCTTAGCCGAAATGGCAAACAACAAGAGAAGTTGGAGCCAAAACCTCATGCAAAGGGAA